AGTTTGATAGACATGGGCAGATAGAAAAATACCCGAACAGATGGCACTAGCTCAGCGAGTATAATTGGCTATAAAGACACCAAGTCAAGAAGTCCGCTTATCTGTATAACACCACGAATAGAGAAGGTTCATACAGCGCCACATTCCCTATTAAGGATCTTCAATCTTTGTTACATCAAGCCATTACCTCTTCCATTGGAATTCTGTGCTTCTGAATCAGGTGCTTCCTTTGACACTTCGATCCTCAGGCTTCTCCACACCCTGATGTTTGGTGGGTTTCTCAGGCATACCCACATCAGAAATGAGTCTCTTGGATGATTTATCAATGATTCCCCAGTGAGACTTAAATCTCCTTGGGCTGAAGCAAAGGTATCTTCACTTGCTCCCTCACCTGCAGCAGGTACACTCTCATTCCTTTGTTCACTAAGCTTCTTCTCATTGTCCTCAGATGCAAGAGGGTCCCTCTTCTTCCTTTTGCTTGATAACTTTGCCATGTCTTCACCATTTTCAACAGCCTTCATCCACTATAAAACACTTAAATGTATCGGAATAAACCACCTCCTTTCTTTTTCGCTTCCCCAAGCCACCACTATTGCTCTCAAAACAATTGCCCTTGTCTTACTTAGTGTCAAGTGTAAAATATACACACTCAGGCACCTCGTGTTCTTCCATTAGACGAGGTCTGTAATTCTCCTTAACTTTCCTCTCCTCATCCATTTGCTCAAACATCCAAAACTCCTCATCTGTTCGGGCAGCAAGTCCGTTGATCTCTCTCTCACTTGGTACAACTTTTCCAATTGAGCTTGTTCCTCTACACATGATTTCCTCCAACATCTCTTTTCTATCCTGTGCTGTACAAGCAAATATGAAATACATTAGAAAAGCTAAGACTGTTGAACAGATATGCAAAAACCTGTTTCAGTACTTAATATACTTCCCTCTTTTGGTATTAATTTAATCTGTAACAATGTTATAGTTACAATGTCACATAGGATTGTAAACTTACATTCAATCATTAAATGAGTGAATGCAAAGTGAAAAGAGCCATTTGTGAAAAGTCACATTATATTGTAAGCTTATAATATCATATGACATTGTTGACTATATCATTTTCGTAAGAATGGAACAGTCTTTTTAAGGGTTTCTGGACGGTTACTTGGCCCAAAAAAAAAAGATGACAGAATAGTTCCTTTCATTAATTGCCACTAATTTCTTTCATTGATGTTGAATTCGTTTTTCTTAATCCTTATCTTTGTGCATTAATGAGTACGAAGGAGTAACAGTATCAAGATATTTATGTAATTGCATGAAATTAAAACGAAACAGACCTGTAGAAGTTGTATTGAAAAGTCCAGCCTGGATGACCTTAGCATCAATTCTCATCTTCTGCTTTGCACGCTCTAAAATTACCTCTTCAGTTGATCCAACACTAACCAGCACAAAAACCCTGACTTCCTTTTTCTGTCCTATACGATGAGCCCGATCCTCTGCCTGTTGATCCATTTGAGGACTCCAGTCACTATCAAAAATGATGACAGTATCTGCTGTTTGTAAGTTCAGCCCGAGACCTCCAGTATGGGTGCTTAATAGAAACATGAAATATGGAGAATCTGGGGCATTAAAATTCTTTAGCAATGTCCCTCTTTGCTCCGTATTTGTTGAACCATCAAGTCTAAGATACGTAAAATCATTGAGTCTCAAGTAGATTTCAAGAATGTCTAAGAGACTTGTCATTTGGGAGAAAAGCAGCACTCTGTGGCCGGTTCTTCTAAGTTTTGGTTGTAACCGATCAAGAAGCTCAAATTTCCCTGATGCTCTGACAATCTCCTCTTTCTGCCACCAGTTGTATTTATCCATGAAAAGGTAGGGATGGTTACAACACTTTCTCAGTTGCATTGTAAGATTCTGTAGGCTCTTTGATCGCCCAGTTCCTGCAAAATTTTAAACTTCTTTCTTTTAGCAAGCTAAATCACTGACCAATGTCTGTATGGCAGTCACTGACCAATGTCTATATGGCAGTCAAACTTCTGATCAAGTTTAGGAAACAAAATATAAGGCATGCCACTAGTTGTATTTATCTATGAAAACGTAGTAGATGATAGTTTATAAGCCTCACAGGCAGAAAGGCCTTCCCCTCTTGCCAGTTTTTTTCATGGTTTGGCAAAGGTCATCTGCAAACAGGATTGTTCAGATCCACAGAGAGTTCAAAGTACAGGTTGCACCATAAAATATATTAAAAATGGCAAGTGAAAAAGAATATACAAACCACTATCTAACCCAACTCTGCCTGATTCTGTGACCTGTTGATAGTAGGCTTTCTGCCATGCTGAGAGGTCACATTTCAGAACAACCTGGGATCTAGAAGGAAGAAATTTCTCTACCTCATCTTTTTTCCTCCTCAATATGAATGGCCTTATAACCCGAGATTGAATTACAACACGTGAGGATAAAGTAATCTAAGGATAGAAAAATGGAATTTGCAGCTAGCAGAAAGGCATACATGATGTAGACGGCGAATAATCAATAGCTCTTCTTCATCTGTAAGAGAAATATCACCACGATCTGTGAAGGGAGCATTAAACCACTCCTCAAAATTTTCAACTGAATTAAAGATGTTTGGAAGGAGAAAATTAAGCAGAGACCATAATTCCTGCAAACTGTTCTGTATTGGAGTCCCAGTCAATACAAGTCGACGTTGAATCTGGTAACTGCACAACATAAAAGTTCAATTAGATAAGCCTTCCTAACATTTTATGGTCAAATCTAAAATTTTACTAAACATCCTCACTCCTGAAAAATGACTAAAGAATTCATAATGAAAACTGCTCTACAGTATAATAGGTAGGAAGATAAAAGAGGCCCTTCTGACAATGCATTGATGCAGTGTGACAGTTTAACTTTTAATTATGCCACAGAGTGAAATGAGGAAATTTTCAATTAAACAATTTTTAATCAAGTTATTGAAAATTAAATGAATCTAAACACCCAAAAGATAAATCAGATATTGATGATATTCAAAAATGGTATTTTAACCAAAATAAAAACAAATAAAAGTGTGAGAGCAGATGGATGGAAGACATGATAAGGAGAAGAATCTCCTCTTACTGTGGAACACAGCGCACCAATATGAAAGCAATGTGATTATCCATGCATTTAGACTAAGGTTGATGCATAAATATAGTAGTTCATGTTGCCAGGTGGTTTATTATTTGGAACACCTTTCCTAGCAAATCAGAGGATCATTGAAATTTATACACAATTAAATTGCCCCTCAAAAGACACAAAAGGGGTTAAAAGAAAGATGCGCAATTGAAGCAAAAAGCAAAAGCAATAAAAAAAATAAATGAAGAAGAAGCAAAACAAGCAGCCATCTCTAAGAGACATCAGAAGATGGAAAACCTTGAAAGTGAAAATGTGTCTCAAATCATAATTGCTTATTTCTTTCTCTTTTCCTTTTTCCACATGTTTGCAGGTATGAATTCATAACTACGTAATGAATCCATCAAAGAGAAGAGGGGATGAAAGGGAGTGTGAAGGGGACATCTCTAACCAATTAAAACATGCATGATGTCAGATTCAAATGCTAATAGATTCGATAGGGTATGCTATTTGCAACAAAAGCAAATCCAAAACACAAATCATAACCACAGAGAGCCATAAGATCTCAGCCTGGAGTTGGCTCGTGCAGCTAAATTCACATATTTGACATAAAAAAAGCTCAAGCAAGGTTCTCAAAGTCAAGAAAAACATCAGAAACAGGACTCTATGATTCAGAATACATTCAGTAAAAATCATGTTAGGCAAAAGAAGACTTAAAGCTTTCTGATGAAACAAAGCAAGATATTCAGCATTAAACACACACACATACACACACATGAAGTTGATTCCTGAAATCAATACCAGACATACGGATCATACCTGGAAACAAGTGTTTGTGCTAGAGAACACTTATGATTCTTTAACCGATGCCCTTCATCAACGATCATGTAGAACCAGTGAAATTTCTTTAAAAAAAATTTGTCTCTTGTAATAAGGTCATAGTGGCTAATCAATACATTAAATTTTCCATCTCTTGATAACTCTTCCCTCAGTGCTTTTCTCTCGTCTACACGTCCATCATAAAGAACAGCTTGAATACTGAATCAAGAACAAAATGCATAACTTATTTCAAAGTCAATAATTATTTGAGAGCAGAAGCACAGCCCATATGCTCAACCATGAAAACATGGAAACGAAGAAGCATGGAGAGAGAGAGAGAGAGAGAGGAAATCACAACTAGTTTTGTTCATACCTGGGAGCCCAAGTTGAGAATTCGTTGATCCAATTTGGTAGTACAGCTTTAGGAGCCACTATCAAATGGGGCCTAGTCACTCCTTTGTTCTCCATAAGATAGGCAATCAATGAAATAGTTTGTATAGTTTTTCCTAAACCCATCTCATCAGCTAATACTCCATTAAGATTGTTATTAAACAAGGAGACCATCCACTGAAGCCCTTCTAACTGGTATGATCTTAATTCTCCACCTTGAAGCATGGATGGTTGCTCAGTTACCTGTTATAGAACATAAATTACGTTAATTTCTGTTATCCAGGTAGCATCAGCAATTCAGAGGGAGAAATTAAAAACATGTAAATCACACTGAAAGATTTATGTGAGAATATAAAAGCAATTTGCAATTAGAAACATGTAGCTTATGGTTGACTCTAAGCCTCCCACAGGAGGTACTAACTGGCATCATCCTCTTACCGTAAAACATTAAAACTATATGCAGCAATTGCATTCTGATCTGCAATATAAGTCCAGACACACACTAGCCAACTTCTTACAGTGGATAAAATTCTTAAGTAATTAAATCACAGAGATTCACGACACAAGACTTGCATTAAAAAAGAATGTGTAGGGTAAAAGACAAGATTGTAAGGTTTTTTATTTACCTTCTCCTGAATTGCCTGAATAGCTGAGTTATACTGCCTCTGACCTTCAAGCAAATCACCAGAGTCATCACCAATATCTGCCTCAAGAAGTGAATCTAGAGGGGTATCATACTTTGAACCATCCACCTCATGGGAGTCTGCTTCCAAATCTTTTAAATCTTCAATACCGTCTGGATGTTTAGCACCTTTCTGCCGTTGAACAGCAGCTCCCAAGTTAATGAGGAGCTTATTTGTTTCTTCAAGAAGCATGGTTAAACGTTCATTCTTGCTTTCCTTCACTAATCTCATGTATGCTTCTTGATCATCAGCCTTAAGGGCCTGGAACCTTAGTTTCTCTGCCCTTGTAGCACGCTGCCTTTGCCTTCCATGCCATGCCTGTTTGAAAAAAAAAAAAAAAAACCTTTAAGATTCTTTTACCATTTGCCATAAGAGAAACAGTAACTATTTTTAGTTAAATAAGTAAAATAACTACACCTATAGAAAAGAAATAAATGAACAACTTGGTTAATTTCATCTTGGAAGAGTCTGTCAAACATAAAATAGACATAAAAGATGTACATGAGAATATATTTACTGTAAACTTAGAAACAAGTCACTGTGTAGCAATCTTAATAACTTTTCAAAGTAAAATGCAATATTTTCAAGAGGGAATCCTTTAAAAGACTTAATGTTTACATGCTATAACTGTTATAAAGCTGACAGCAAAGCAAAGGCTCAGTTGATGGCAGTCCAACACCGTCATTGTAAAAGATTACCAAATTACCAATAACTACTCTACCTGGACGCCATCATTCCTTTGCTTTTGACGCTTTTGAGAAGCTTGAATTTGCAGTTGGAAGTCACGAAATGCATTAACCAACTCCAAGAAGAATTTCTTCTTGCTCGTCACTATTTGGTTCTTTTCCTCCTCTCTTAACCAGGACAACCTCTGCATCAAACCAAAGGTTGTATTCAGTAATAAAGGCCTTCGATTATCAAACCAAAAGTCAACTGAATGGTAGTGATTAAAGTTATTCTTGAGGAAGCCAATATCTAATAGAAAAAATAAATAATTGTTGGATACTTGTATAGGAATCCTAGAGGGAAAAAGCACTAGATAGAAAGATATCAACAGCCAGAATCCTCTTAAAAAATATGCAGCAGCAAACAACCTGATTAACTAACCGTCATTCTATGAGCGTCACCAAATACCATGAGATAAAATTTTAGTCACAGCAGACAGCATCCAAAATCTAAAAATCAGTTTTTCCTAATATCCACTTTACAAGCAAGAAAACTAAATTAAAACAAAATAAATTATATAATAGATAACCTCATAATCTCGTTTCTCTCTGGCTTGATCATCAACTTCTGGCGTGAAAGGAATAAAGTTGCCATATGATGGAAAAGGCAATCGTGCCATGTCCCAGTCAAATAATTGCCTTTCTGGATATGCACAATTGATGTGAAGCCAATACTCAGAACTCACATCAGACCGAACCTTGCTCTGCAACTCTTCTAACTGCCAAAAAAAAACGTCCTTGGCCACAAGGACATAGCCATGTCATCGATCAACACCAAGAGAGAGAGTTTTAAAAACTAGAAAACAGGTTACGAAAACAAATCTATTCTCAATCTTATTATTGATCTTCCTCTTCTGAATCAAAGAGGTTAACATAGGTCATGATAGTAGGGTTGTAGAGCAAAAGATACCCAACCCTTAGCATAGATTGTTGCAAATTTTTTTCTCAACCATGAACTGCAAGTTCATGTGCACTACAGAATACCCAGCACAGCGGCTTTACCTTTAGGCTGTAGAGTTCGAGCAAGCACATTGTCTGCAGGTCCTCACCTCTATTTGAAGGCAATTCTGATTGAAAACAAATATGAACAACGATTACTCAAATTAGTTGTCAAAACTGCTAAGTTATCAACCTAGTCTTTGTTCTCATGTGTGACTGCATCTATCATACATGCAAAACATTATGAAATGTAAGAAAATTACAACCTTTGAGTTCATGCAGACGATGCTGAATGTGGCTCTGGTAACGATTTTCTTTTGATTCTACCAATCTAGAACCTGACATGCATTTTGGCCACTGTGTTGATAGGGCATTTTCAAATTCACTCAGCAAATCCCCCTTCATGAAAATTCCAGAATCATCCTGCAGAATGATTGTCAAATCAATGATCTAAAAGGCAGCTAATTGAACACACACTACAATTGACGTGGAAGAATAACATAACAACAGCGATGTCTCATGCAATCCAGAAAGAACGTCATAATATAATTGTTTCTCAAGAAAACATCATTATAAAGTTCAAACTATTAAATGGAATCATTCTTGTTTCATAACCAGAGAGGCACTAACACAAACTAAACTAACAAATTGCAAAGATGTACCCCTATACGCCATCCTGGTAGAACAATAAACACTAACTGCAGTTATATTATAATACAGTTTAGTTTCTACAGTTTTATGGCTCTTTTGGAATAACTAGAAAAATATAGGTATGTCGCCACACTACAAAATATATGGTATCATCGTTATTTTTCATTTTTCTCAGGGCAATATCTTGTTCTTAAGTTATTTTTCTGCTATACTTGTGCATTATGTCATCAAATAATCTCACAAACATTAAACCCATTCACTATTCATACCACAACCCTCCTAGTTTAGCTGACAGAAAATTTCACTTGCATCCAATTTGTTCAACTCAAAAAAGAGAGAAAGAGATTAAAATCAGAAGTACTCAGGGCGGTAAACAGTTAGGGAAATTCAATTAAAACCCAGAGCCAAAATGCTAAAACAATCCCACCAAGAACCGCTTCCTTGAACACGCCAAACTTCAACAGCAGGACTCAAAAACAATGAGAGGGTTTCTCCATAATCATAGCCGTAAGAAAAAACAGAAGTCAAATTACCCATCAATCTAGAGCAACACATTATCCAAAGTTCACAACTTCAGGACAATTCCTAGCAAGCACAACAAAAGTGCAAAACCCCAAATTCATGGGAACTCCGAAAACATGAGAAAAGGGTACTTGGGAAACGACAGAAAAATCCAATAACAGAACAAAAGCCATCTCAATAGCTAGCAACGTGAACATCCCAAAATTCACAAGGATTCAACACAAAACCCCCCGAAATTCACAAGAATTCCGATGAAAACCAGCTACGAAAACAAAATATATAACAAGAGAACCCACCAATCCCTTCGTAACCTCCGGTACCTTATCAAATCCATCACCACCTTCGTCCCCATCGCCAAAGGCCTCCCTTTCGCCACCCTCATCACCATAATAGATAGAAGAAACAGCGTCGAACAG